TTTATTCGATAGAGTAAATTCTCAGCTACAAAACACTCTTTTGCAATGTATTCACCTCCATAAGCTGTGCATTTTCACCAGCAATGAACAAGAGCCTGCAAGTTCCACTGGTAAATGTCTGCACCAGTGGAGATGATCCACTTTCACCCCTGCTGAAACATCCCTCACCGCCTCACTGTTCTCATGCCCACTGTTTTGTTCCCCCCCAAAAAAACACAGCAAGCAGATTTTTCTCGTACATTTTTGATTATATGTATATTATATACATGTAGTATATAATTATATAAAAATTTATTTCTGACTTTTTAAAAAGAAGTTTATCATTGTGGGTTATTTTGTGAAATAAGAAAAAATTACTAGAGGCTTATTTCTGTTCACCCTTATCATAATCGAAATAATCTAGAAAATAGGACTTATATGGGAAAAAAGAAGGTGGGTGGTGGATTCAATACACTAAGCAAAAAAAAGGACATTTTGTTTGTGTTCTGCTCAATCATTTATTCTAAATTTTCTAATTAATAATTTTGTATTTGTTAAATTACTGGACAGCAAGGACAGCTGAGAGAAGTAATTACAAAATGAGGATTACTTAGCAAGATACAGAGGTTAACTGTGGGATTTTTTTGTGTGCACTGAAATGAATAAGTATGCCATTGTGAATCCTTATTGCGCAGTGCGTCTGAAATAATATTATCTTTTACAAAAAGGCTAGACCAGAGAGGGAAGATATGCTGTTCTGTCTCCATTATACGTTCAATTCTAAGGCTATTTAGACCAAAGCTGTTCTTACCATCCTAATCTCTGTCACTCATAAAGTCAACTACAAATAGGCTTGATACACACTGGGAGTTGAAAAACAAAACGTGACCTTGCACATAGTGTTTTATCCAAGGCATTGTTGTTGCGTAAGAAAACACTGTTTATAAGGGACAATGCAAAAATCAATCCTCCAGGAACCTACCTTTGGATATTTACATTCCCCTTGCCAAAAGAAGATGTGATATTCTCATATTCTAAAGTTTGGCAAGTGTAAGTGCCATAAATACGAGCTCAATGAGAGAATCTTGCCGCACTACGAAATAAGCATATTAACACTTTGTTAAACCAGTGATCACAGTCAGTATGAACAAGATATCAAGCTTATTGTAGTAGTCTTTAATTAGATAATGGGCAGGTAAAGATAACATGCAAATAGCATATGCATATATCACTAATCAGTTGAAAAAGCTGGGCTTAAGTGATATACTATTTCAAGTGAGGTGTACAAGTACACATACTGCCATTTTTACTGAGTTGATTTAGTTGAAAGTAAAACTGACCAAAGAATAAATTCAGAATATATTCCAAATATTCTTTTAATTTCAGATTTGTTTTGAAAAGAACAGTTTCTTATTTGTCTTTGCATAGAAACTTGATTTATTTAATCTGTGATGCATTTGTGACTTGGTACTACATTTGTAACTGGTTGCTGATAAATACAGATTAATATCTCTGTTTTGTGACAGGACAGGACCTGTCAACAGAGCTATAGAATATATGTATACGTATATATTTAATATGCGTTTTCTTATTTTTTTCTTTGATGAAAAAATATTGTTTGACATTCCTTCTTAATCATTTCAAATTGTTTGTGTGGAAAATCCAGTCTTAGACTGTCTAGAGTTTCAGTTGTTTTATAGAACAGTTGTATCTAAATTTTGTTCTAAGAGGAGTTTCAAAGTTTTGTTGTTTAGTTTATTAATGGTCCATCCATGACAGCCATCTTTCTTCAATTTAGAGACAAAGATGTTGTCTGGGATTATGTGAAATGTTTCTGCATTAATCTACTGGAGTTTAGAAAGTGCCCATGGCATCTTTGGTTGGGATTCTACCTCTTAATCTGAGAAGGCATGGGGAGAAATAGTAGTGTCTTGTCCCTACCAGAGCTCTTCCATAGTGAGATTAGACAATATTTAGCAAGTAGGATTTGCAAGTAAATAGTGCAGACAAACACAACACCTGCAGTAAGGCTGTAAAAGAATGACAGAACATAGAGAAGGAATATGTAGTATACAGCTGAGTTTGGGATAAAAAATTAAACACAGGTGTTGGTACTTTCTCTCTATTTGAGGTACTCTGACTGAGCTCACTTCTCTAATTAAGCTGTTGTCTCCGAGTGCTAACAGTTTTTTTGTTACTTCATTGACTCAGCGGAAAGACTTCAAGTCATTTTAAATTTTATCAGCTTTATCTCATACTATTTCAATTTGATAGACATTTGTACCATCTGTACTTTGGATTTTTTCTTTTGTAGTTGTAGACATGCAAGTGAAAGTGTCATGAGAAGTATTTTAATGCATTATTTATATTTAAATAAGCCATTAGTAATACATACTGTGAAGTTTTAAAACAACAACAACAACAAAGAAAACAAACACATTTTAAAAAACTGAACCAAAATATGTTTGTGCAATACAACATAATCTTTAAAAAGTTTATACAAGTTAACTTAAAAGTACTCATCTTACTTTTCAGTAAGATTATCTTCTATTATGAATTCACTGCTTCAGTGAATGGAAATGTTGTAGGGTCTTATCTGAAGTTCAAGAACCATTCCTTCTCATGAACTTTATTTCCTCTTCTTCTTCCAGACTGTCAATCAGTGTTTAGATAAGATAAAGAATGCTAAAAATGTAACTGGGTACATTTTCTCTCAAATTCTGGACAAGTTTCTTGCTGAAACCTGCAGTGCTTTCTGAACCACAAAACATCCTTTCAGTAGTGCAGTGAAGACAAATAAAGATTCATGGACAAATGGCAATGAGAGGCAAAAAAAAGCTTAGCAGGCCTAACAAATGAAATTGGAGAGCTAGACTAATTGCTACCAATTCCTTTTGTCTCAGATGAAAGATAAAGTGACCTAAAAGAGAATAGTTCAACTTGACAATTCAGGCATATATTTCGTATCTTTTTCTGAGCCCTGTAGTGTTTATTTCTCATTCAATAAAATCAGTTATTGCACTCAGAGAGGTGAGCATGATATTGAATCACTAAACCAATAGTTTCCAGCATATGAGTCTATCTTCATGCAACAAAAACATTAAAATCCCCATTTAACATTAATGTTACCTATACAAGGTGGATTGAGGAATCTCAGCCTGTGTAAACAATGAATTTATCTTGTAGCATTTAAAAATCAAATTGGACACTCAACTTCTAACCAGGATTATTTTACATTGTATGCATCTAAAAGAGTGCATTCTGATTTAGATTTATTTTCACTGAATAATACTTATCAGTTGAGTATAAAGAATATTAAGAGAATTCAAATTACTTTCATAATTTCAATGGCTTTTTTATTGTTTCCACTGGATTTGACTGTCCTTCAGACTTCAAGCTCAGTGGCTTACAGAATTTGACAAAAAACCATCAGGTAATGCTTTTTTTGAACTTCTGGTTGCTTCTTAATAGGCTGCTTCTGCAAAAGTTTCACAGCAATTTCAATTTCCCTTCATTGGTGCAAGGTCTACACGTTTAGAATTAAAACTGATAAAACCATAATAATGAAACAAGCTCCAAACATGCTGCTTGCATTTCTGAGCCAGATTAATGTGTTGAACTTTTATAGTTTATCTTAAAATCTTTTGTCAAGACTCCAACTTCTGCAAAGTGCTAGAATATTGAACTTTGTATGATGCTTAGTCAGCACGTCATTCTTGCTTTTGGGAGTTTCACTGTCTCCTTGTCAGATATTAGCTTGCCTTAAAAACACTTTATTGTCTTAAAGATGATGAACAATTTGGCAGAAAAAAATATTTTCGGACTGATTTGGAGTGTCTACATCAGCTGTTTGGTGTCTCAGATCATTGAAACCTATTATATTAGCTATTTAAAATAAGGATTTATTTCTATTTGAATTTTGAGATCTCTTCTTGGCAGAGCCATTTACATGTAAACGCATATTTTCCCCTTTAACAGTAGCCTTATGGGCTATAATGGTAGAGCATTTTTGCATTTTTATGTTTAATTTTATTGTAAAGAGCCTTGGGATGCATTTCCATGAAAGGCACTATATAAGCTCATTTTGTTTTGCATTGTATTGTATTGTGACAAGTGCAGTAATCCTCAGGTTTCCTGTCCATTAAAGAACTCATTTCACAGCTCGCTAATTATGTGAATGAGAAGGGGAAATAAGTCCCTTTTCTCTAAGGTATGTTGAGCAGATGGCAGAGCATTCATTTCTACTAGTGAATCTAAGGTCTTCTCTTTTGGTTCCAAGGCTTGTCTCTGTTTATCAAACAGAAGAAGAAAAGAGAAGTCAGTTTCTTTACACGACAGTACGTACTGGGAGGTTGTCTCTATCCTTCGGTAATACAACAGCAGTTAGTACATGCTACATCTAAACAGTCCATTTATTTATCATGGAACATGAAAACAATTAAATAAATGTGCAATTTAATGCAGTTCTAATTTGCCACTGTTTTTTTAGGAGATATTGATTAGGTCCACTCTAGGGATTTGAAACAATGCCTATAAACAGTTACAAATGAATCAGCTGAATGCCTTTGGGACAGTATTTAGTCTGTAATTCCAATTAGAAAAACATTATTTCCTTTGGCCTTGGAATTTTCTCTCATAATCAGGCTTTTGCTACTTTGCTTATCTGCTTTTCTTTCTTCTCACTCATAGAAATAACTGTCTTGAGCCAAACATGCATTTATAGGCCCCTAAAGCACTGCTTTTTTAAAGATCATGTGAGTCATCAATGGTAATGGTGTCATACTGTGATCCTAAAAACTTGATATTTGAATATTAAAAAGCGAAAAGCTGAAATTAAAGGTCCAGATGCATCAGTGGGACTTGGCAGCAAGGCTGTGTTACGCAGTGCTACACAAGCAATCAGATTATTTTCTCCCTATAGTGTAAGGAGAAGTACTAAATTTTTTTGCCTCTTCTCTCACCACGGGGACATCAGTTGTTTTCATTTTAAGTTCATGGTACTGATTTCATTCTAATTTCAGACGGATGCAGCTCTGATGTATGATGCAGTTCATGTGGTGTCAGTGGCTGTCCAGCAGTTCCCACAGATGACTGTCAGTTCACTACAGTGTAATCGCCACAAACCATGGCGCTTTGGGACCCGCTTTATGAGTCTCATTAAGGAGGTGAGTCACTAATAAGATATATCCTGCTTCCTTACTTTCCTTTCTTCCAATCTCCATTTCTTTTTATTTTAATCCCACTGGAATTCTACTTTTTGTGTTGGTGGTGGTAGTGATGGTGGGTTTTTTTTTTTTTTGTTTTGTTTTTTTTCCTGAGTGGATCAGGCTCTTCTAAGCCTGTTACGTGTATACATAAATAAATTGACAAGACATGCATCGTCATTTGCAAACAGGTTTTCCTGAGCTTTTATTTGCAGCAAAGCATACAATGAGGAGAAAGAAAAAAGAGTGAAATGACTGCTTCTACATACTAGGGTATTTTTAGCACATTTCTGTGGCATTAGAAAAATACCCCCTGTGACCCTCAGCTTTTGACTAGCAATTAAAAATTCAGCGGCTAAACAGTGGCATAAATACAAAGGGACTAAGAAGGAAGTTTACTACCTTGTTTTAATTTTTACTTCTTTTGTTGTCGTGAACTAATATTTGTAACATCTTGTGCTATAAATAACTGCTTGTTTCTCATTCTTCATATACAAAATACTATGATAAAGATAAATATGTGCAATGGAATATAATCATCTTTTTAACCTAAATTGGTTTTAAGATGAAAGCTTTATCATTTGCATATCCTCATTTAACATAGTTTAAGAATCAGGCTAACTTTAAATAATAAAAAAATAGGATATTCCATTTCATTTAAAATAAGGAATTGGCTCTGGGAGACGTCAGTTTTTACTGTCTCAGTGTGGTCTCCGAGGACTCAGCATCTTGTAAAAGTAAGCCCTTGTTTGAAGGAGATGTCCTAATAGAATAATAAAATCCAGAGTTCATGGAAAGCGTTGGGATGGGAAAAAGAAGTGAAAAAGCATATATGAATATTGGAAAAATGAAAAGAACAAGCTTGTTATTACTTTTAGTATAAAGTTTATTGGATAGCATGGAAAGTGGTTTAAAAATATTTTTGAAGATTAAAGAAAGCTTAGTTAGCAAAAAGAGAATATAAAATATTAAAAAAAACAAACAAACAAGTTGAAATACTGAGATAGAATAAATAATATTCTCACTTTGTTAGAAGTAAGATTTTTCTTTTTGGGGAAATAAAGAAAGAGATATTTATTTATGGAAATCATCTTTTTTATTTTTATTTTTTTCTTTCTCTATAGGCTCACTGGGAAGGCCTCACAGGAAGGATAACTTTCAACAAATCCAATGGCTTAAGGACAGATTTTGATTTAGATGTTATAAGCCTCAAGGAAGAAGGTCTTGAAAAGGTGTGTAAGATGTCTACCTCTAAAGTGATATAACACATGAAGCAAAAACCTACTTCTCTCCAGAAAAAAAAATCACAAAAGTAACTTTTTTTTTTTCCCCTGAATAAAAAGCAAAACATCTACAGCAAAATGAAATTTTTTATGGGAATAAAATATATGTGGTTTTGAAAGTGTATTTCAAAAATAGCCTTGGCACAAGACTTTATATATGTATGGTTTTGTTTTATTTTCCTTAGAAGAAGACAGTACAGCTGAAACTTTAGTTCTGACAAGTTAAGTATTTTTATGAGATCTGTTTGGTTTTTTTTTTGATGTAATGTTTTATTTGCTGGGTTTCAGTACTATTAAAATGACAAACGTTTGAATTTTCATCTTAGCATTTAAGTGCATGTTAGTTATATCATTCTTACAAAACAGGTGTCCAAGTGAGTAGAAGAAAACAAAATAATTCAAACAAGTATTTTGCAGCTTACATCTGCAGGACAATGTTTGTATTTAGTGTATAGTCAGTGTTTAGCTATTAGCTACTGTGTTTTGTTAACGTTGTTTTCCCTCATCTTCAGATGAAGTTTTATTTGGTATTGCTCCAAGGTAATATTGTCTTGAAAAGTAAAAAGAGGAATTGAGGGAAGTCATCGTGCTGCAGAGTTTATTTACTTTATTTTTTCTTTTTTTATTTATTTGTTTGCTTACTTATTTTCTGCAAATAGCTGAATGGAGAACATATTTTTCCAGAACCTTTTTTCTCTAATGTCAGCTTTGAGATATTAATGTTCTCTGACTAGGAATATTTCAAAGAAGTTTGTAAGCTATTAACTTGCTTTGGAACTATTAAATAGACATGAAGATTTTCAAAAAGGTCCAGTGGCATACCTATGGTTAAAGGACTAATTTATATTTTAAAATATGAAGCAGTGCCAGGGTAGTGAATAGCCTTACTATCATATACTCCATTAAGGGAGCTCTCAAGGTATAGTTGTCACTAAATTTGCAAAGCAATTTTGCTTTGTATAGCAGTACCATAGGTACAGTGCAAACTGTCTTTTTTACTGGAAACAAAAATAAAAGAATTGATGTCATGGGAATAGCTAAATACGGCAGTAGTGGCCAGAGAGTCTGCCTGTAAGTAGAAAATTAGAATAAGAAAAGGAAGAAAAGAAAAGTAAGATGGCTATAAGGACATTAAAGGTCATTTGGGAACCATCCAGCACCATGGGTTTTCTTCATAGTGTGTTCAATTTCTTTTCTAGTACAAATACAAAACAAATTAAATAAGTGGAAAGTTAATATATTTGCATTTCAGTGACGTATCTGATATCACTTCACAACCTTTTTAAAAAACAGAGTTGTCTGTGTTAACAAGTTTTTGTTATAAAGTACGCAGACTGGAAATTTCCTGAGAGAACACCGGTGTAAAGTAATGCATAATGGATGTGTAGTGGGCTAAAGCAATGGTATCTTCCATCTGGGTCTGTGTAATGCCTGTTGATATTTCACCTTTAATACTAATATGAAGGCAGAAACATAAAAACATGTTGATTTAATTCTCAGCTGACAGTATATTATAAGATATGTACACAACTGAAAAACACTGAAATAAAACAGAAAAATCTAGAGATTAGAAGTATGTGAAGAAAATAAAATTCAACAGAAAATACTGTATTCTAGAACAGAAAAGAAAAAAAAAGAAACTGGGAAACAATAATAATGAACGATATGTGAGAGACAATAACAGAAATAGCTGTAAAAAGATATGGATGTTTTAAAACAGCCAGTGTGTCCTTCAACAGTATGTATAGAAATTCAGAGTAATGGAAGATACTTTTGGTGCCTTCACTGTGCATTTTGTCTTTAAAGGGATGTGATAGTATTCTTCAACAGAATATTTAGAACAAACAGTAAGGATTAATCACTATGCATTAGAAAAGTTTGGGAGCTGGGAAACTGTTACCAAAGAACATTGAAGAATGCTACACATCCAACAAAACATATGAACGAAAAGAAGACAGTTTGTGTAGAGAGAAGTGATTAGGAAAATTAAGCTATATGTCTGTTACCTTGAACTATTTACATCTGGGTTCTGTAATTTATTTTACTGAGAAAGAGAAAACAATGTTGAACTAAAAAAATGTCTTTGAAGGAATACTGTTTATTCTAAAAGAGCAGGAACTCTATTTTCCTTGGTTCCAGGTGGAATTTTTAAACCCCAGAATATGACACTTCCAAGGAGAAAGAATATATTGTTTCAAGTCCTTTCATTTTGAATGAGTTCTTTGTTTTTCTTTCCTATATTGTCTTCCAGGTAAAGCTAAGCTGAATCTTCCTTACTTCCTGCTCTTCCACCCCTCCCTCCCCTCCATCCTTCACTTCACTTTGTGCATTCTATCTTTCTCCATCATATGCATAACTTTCTGCTCTCCTACTGATTCCTTCTCTCCCTGCCTCCTTCTCTCTCTTTTCCTCCCTTTATCTCTTAACTTTCCTTCTTTTTCCCCTCCTCCAGTCTCCTCTCCCTCTCCCCTTTCCCCTCCTTCCTGCCATGGTGTAAGAGCCTATTCTTTTACATCATTGCCTCAAAACTTACCGAGGACACAGATGAACAAGTCCAAGCAAATCCTGGGCAAGAATTGAGAAATCACACAGATGGACAAGGCCAGGGGCAATGAGAGAGAGATAAGCCGCAGACTAATGGCCGGGAAGCTGTCTTTTGTGTGGGCTTATCTCGAGGAAGATGGCCACCTCAGGGGGTGCTGCAGATGACTCTTAATCTCCCAGGAATGCCACATTGGCAGAAGAAGGATAAAAAAAAAGGGACCAACAAAACAACCACGAAGTTAGGTTTTCTGACAACAGAGTTCTCATGACCTGAGGCCTGCATGCTGAAGAAGAAGAGGTGTCTGATATCAGAAGCTTCATGAGCTGATGCCTGCATGCTGACCGACTCTCCTGGGCCTGCTACCTGAGACCTGCTGCTTCCTCCTGGACTTACCCTGAGGCTTCTTCCTGCTACCTGCTTGCTGCTGAAGGCTGGCCACACTGCTGCTGCTCTCCCCCTGTGGTTTTGCCTTGGACCATTGGGATGGCATGCAACGGGACCTGGTGGTGATTATTCCTGGTTTATACAATTCTTGCTTCTTTCCTATATTTTCTATCTCCCGCCTTCCTTTCCCCATCACCCTAATTCATAATAGTCACCGTTCTCCCCTTCCCCATCTCTCTGATCAAGATTTGTAATAAACTGGTCGGAACAGAATATGAACTGTTGCTTCTTAATCTCATGCTGGGTATACGTATATCAAAGAACCTCCTCTCCCTCCTATAAATTGGAGCGAGACACATGACAAGTTATCTAAATCATGTACGTTAAGTGTAAAAACTACTCATTCTGAAGTCAGTGATAACAGAAAATTCACTCCTCACATTGAATAAATGGCTTGTGTGAACTTAATTTGTACATGAGATACCTGTTCTCATGAAACTCTTAAATGAGGGGTGATAATCAAATATCAGTTATATATATTTGCAATTGTAATTAGTGTTTACACTGAAGCTGCATTGTGAAGAAAATTATTCTATACTGTAAAAGCATCATACTTCAGACAATCAAATTTAATTAATGCATTTAATTTGAAGATTAGTCCATGGGACCTGACAAGATCCATCAGTGGGTTTTGAGGGAACTGGCAGATTAAGTTGCCAAGCCATAATCCACCATGTTTGGAAAGTCGTGGCAGTCTGGTGTGGCTCCCACTGACTGGAAAAGGGGAAACATAGCACCTTTGTCAAGAAAAGAAAAAGAGATCCAGGAAACTACAGACCATCAAATTTTGACCAGTGCCTGTCAAAGTCATGAGTAGTTCCTCCTGAAGACCCTGGTAAGGCGCATGGAAAATAAAGATGAGGTGACTGGTAGTAACCAACATGGCTTTACCAAGTGCAAGCCATGCCTGATAAACTTGATGGCCTTTCATGATGGAGTTAGAATGTCAGCAGATAAAGGAACAGCAACTGACGTCCTCTACCTGGAATTGTGCAAAATGTTTGACTCCATCCAGCACGACATGCCAGTTGTAAAATTGGAAAAAAATAGATTTGATGGATGGACCACTCTCTGGAAAAGAGATTGGCTGGACAGTTACACTCAGAAAGTTGCAGTCAACATCTCAGTGTCAAAGTGGAGACTGGTGATTATTGACATTCCTCAGGATTCAGTGCTTGGTCTAATGCTATTTAACAGCTTTGTAGGCGATATGGACAGCAAGATTGAGTGTGCCTCAGCAAGTTTGCAGAAGACACCAAGCTGAGTGGTGCAGTTGACATGTAGAGGGAAGGGATGCCATTAAGAGGAACCTAAACCTGCTTGAGAGGTGGGCCCATATCAAACTCATTAAGTTCAACCAGGCCAAGAGCAAGGTCCTGCACCTGGATCAGGGCAATCCCAAGCACAAATACAAACTGTTTGGAGAATGGCTTGAGAGCAGCCCTGAGAAGGATTTGAGAGTATCAGCTGATAAAAGTCCCAGTGTGAGCTGGCAGTGTATGCTTTCAACCCCAACGGCCAACTGTATCCTAGGTTGTGTCGGGAGAAGTATAACCAGCAGATGATTCTGCCCTTGTATTTTGCTCTTGTGAGACTCCACCTGGAGTACTGCACCCAGTTCTGGGGCTCCCAACACAAGAAGGACATTGAGCTGTTGAATTGGGTCCAGAAGAGGGCCACGAAGATGATCAGAAGACTGGACCACCAACCCACTGTAGCATTGCCTCCTACACCCCATGAGGACAGGCTGAAAGAACTGGGGCTTTTCAGCCTGAAGAAGAGAAGGCTCCAAGGGGACCTTATAGTGGCTTTCCAGTACCTGATGGAGGCCTACAGAAAAGCTGGGAAGGGGCTTTTTGTAAGGTCATGTAAAAACAGGATGAAGGGAAATGGCTTTAAACTGGAAGAGGGTTAGGGTTAGGGTTAGGCTAGATATTAGTAAGATATTCTTTACTGTGAGGGTGGTGGGACACTGGAACAGGTTGCCCACAGAGGTTTTGAATGCCCCCACAGTGGAGGCATTCAAGGCCAGGCTGGATGGGGCTTGGAGCAACCTGATCTAGTGAGAGGTGTCCCTTCCTGTAGAAGGGGGGTTGGAACTAGATGATCTTAAAGTTCTCTTCCAACTCAAACCATTCTATGATTCTATGATATTCATTAAGCTAGTCTGGAGAATATGTAAACTCAGAGAATTTAAATTTCAGGAGTGTACAGTGCTTCTTATTTGTTATTGTGGTGAATTACATTGCATTAGTCTTGGTAAGGATAGCAGCTTTGAAGAAAGTTTGAGCTTTACTAAAGAAGTCTATTCCCTACATTGCAATTGAAAGAATAAAAAAATTAATATTTTTCATAAATAACTTGTTGAATTATGATTGGTATAATTAGGAAAGGCTTTTTTTACTGAATGGCAAATTTCATTTTCATTTAAAAATACTATAGAATATAAACTAGCATCATGAGGTGTCTGTGAAAGTTACTCAGATAAAAGGAAGCTACCACTTTTAAAAATACTGTTAACTTTACCTAACTATCTAAGTAATCCCTTGCGAGATTTTTATTTGTATGGAAGTGTAATTCAGGAACTTAGCTGCATTCACACTAGATACTGTAAAAACTCTTGACTCTGAATATGCCTTTTAAATTGCATGTATGCTTTCTCTTAGAAATCAACTTGAAAAAGTATAATGTAAACGACCAATAACCTTGAAAAGGTGAGAAATTTGAAAAAGATTGACAAAGTTTATGTTGTTGTTCTGATAGATAAACCTAACAAAATTCCAATTATTATTTCCAGTAGAGACTAGAAAGTTTGGGTTGAAGTCCAATATAGTCCAAAATTTCTTTTCAAATTCCTGCCATGTTGCTAAGCAGACTGTACAAATTTAAAGTGAAAAATTACTGTATTCAGCACTCTTCCTTCTAATGTTCAGGAATGCATCATAATTATCGTTAATTATTCCACTATATGAATCTATTAAAATTTTATTGTACAAATTAACTGTTGCAGCATTCAGTAGTCAGGACTTGAATGACTATTCAGTCTGTTTTATCAGGCCTACTATTTTCATTTTTTTGTATTCCTGTACAAATAATGTCAATTATATTTTAGTATTAAATATTTGTGGAAATAAGTAAAATTTTATTAACTTCATTTTTTTATTGTTCTTTGAGGCAGTGTACAAAATACTTGAGTACATACACACAGAAGATAATTAAAGTTGTGGGAATATTAGCCAGACTTCTTTTCTTTACTTGCTGAATTTTTCCTTGGATAATTACTATCTTGAAACACTTGGTTAATTTTTTTTAGATTTAGTTCTGACATTGTTTGTACTTCTGAACTATTATTTAAATATTGTGAAGGTTGTTTAAGAGATTTTTAAAAGTGGTATACAATTGACTGACCACTTGGAAACCTGAGATATACTCAAAAAAGTACATTACATCCTTTTCTTGTGGAGCATGATAAAAAAAATCTCTGAGCTTATCTAGTTTAATATTCTGTATCTGCAGTGAGCAGCTGCAGAGAATAGAGAATTATATAAAAAGTGGCAAGCGTAGTGCAGTATTCCTCTATAATATTCCCAGACAATCTGCTTATTGCAGTATAAAGGGATAGTGTCTTTGTAGTAACAGGTAAGTAGAAACAGGTAATATTATATATATATAATAAGCAAATATAATATAATATATATATATCTAATATCTATATATATAAAAGACACTACATTCAAATTTGAAGTATGTATTTCTTACTTCTTCCATGTTATTTACTTATGGTAATGACTATCAGTCTATCTCAATATCTGCTTCTACATTATCATGAAGATGCTATACTTTTGGATGTTATGGGAAAACAGTGTTAAAGCTGAAGCTTTGTCATAAGAAAATGAAAGAAATGAGAGGAAATGAAAGCTGATTTACTTTTAATTTACTATTAATAAGATGTAGTATTATAGTATACAAATATGTATTTTTCACTGGGGTTACAAATTTAGGACTAGTTTCATTCAGTTATAGAAAGAAGCTATGTTATCTTGCTACCATTGTCTTAGGTCAGACGATGCAACTTTATTGATAGAGTTCAAATTTCTTGAGGATTTTTTTTTTTTTTTTTTTTCTGGAAACTGTAATATTAAAAATAAACATCAAGCTAAAAAAACCCATGCAAACAAACAAAAAAACCAAAACACCAAGAATAGTGCCAGCAACACAATCCTGGAAATTTCTGTCCAAGTTTTTATAATACATAAAGAGGGAAAAAAGTTTCCATGTTCATGCTGTGGATAACATGTATCTTGCAGTTTCAAGTTGACAAACTCACTCCAAAATAGTCTAGCCATAACTGGGAATACAGGCTTCTCTCTTTTTCAATTTTTTTGATAACGTTTAAAATAGTTTTCTTGCCCTGCCGTGTTGAAAAATAAAAGGGGAAACTAAAGCACTGTGTCTGTATTTACAGTGTGAATGTTCTCTCTAAACTGTATATAAGTTTATCAGTTTCTTTCACATTTTAGGAGAACTTAAAAATTTGTTAGAAGTACAGGTAAGGCAGTAGAAGTAAATTGCAAGTTTTTTGAATTGAAATTGCATGTAACAAAGTACCTTGATTTGCTTTTTCAACATTTTTTGGCATTTAAAGTATTCTCAGTTTTCTAGTGAAAGCGCATTAACTCTTCTTTCTGTTCAAAAAGATACTTTACAATTCAAACACTGTGTTTAAGCAAATAGAAGAAAAAATGAATTAACTGCACTGCTTATGCACTGTTTTCTCTAGGAGAAGCTTTTAGGAGATATTTGTGTAATTAAGCAGGTATAAATACCAGAGTCTCTGACATAGTTGCTGAGTTCATTAAGAATAAAAGAAGGATGTATTCTAGAGAAAATTGTACTTTTGTTCCATTTCTTACATTTTTAATTTACAAAACAAAAAAAAAAAAAAACAAAAAAAAAAAAACAAAAAAAAAACCCACTTGTGTAAAGCAATTGCATTTAAACTCATTTAGAAAAACAATGCAATAATTTAACAAGACACAAACTCCTCTTTAAAACTGTGCAGTTGATTGTTCTTATTCAACTACATGGGTGTAGTTAGGGCTAGATAAAAACACAAATACTAAAAGTTTATAATTATTTGTTTGTTGCTGTAACTGTATATAAAAGTAGGGAAGGAAATATTTTAACTAATAATGTTTGCTTTTCCGAGGTAAAGTTGAATTATGATTGTTATAATTAAAAAAATATTGCAACAGAAGGTTTTCAATCCTTTTACTATTTTTTAATTGTGGCCAAAATTCAGAGCTGCATATTTTGGTTTTCCTATAAACATTTCAAATCACAAAATGAAATTATTCTAAATTAGTACATGAAGAAAAAGTTTATTAATTGTAACCTTATGTTTCAATGATTTGAGAAGATGTCTTGTTTTGTTATATTGCAATTGTATTTGGACTCATTTGTTCCCCTGCTTTCCCTTCATGGTTCTTTTTTTCAACATAAGAGGTAATGAATGGCAAAAATTCTAGAATCACAGTCACTCAAAGGAATGGTGTCTTGCCTCAAATAGGAGAGTTATGCAGGGAAGAAAGATAAATATTCCTGAGCATCTGGAAGTGGTAAAAATGAAAGCAAACTTAGCTTTTCTTTGTTACTGCTTCTGCTGATTCATGCTCTGTTGTGTTCTCAGTTTTAAGAGATGAAACTCTATTCAACCCATGCTGAATCACATCCTGAACTTGACAGACTGTATGCTGTAATATGGTTGCTGAGGAATCAGTTTGAAAGATTTAATAAGTATATTCCTGTGTATCTTTATATATATACAAATAAACACATATATATGTGTGCATATGTGTATGTGTGTATATATATGCATATATAAATTTACAACCAAAACTTTTATGGAAATGTTAAATTACAGAATTGTTGAATTCCATTTTAAAGTTTATTGACATTGTGTTGTAGATACTGCTCAGTATTTTAAATGATAGACAAAATGTTTTCAAAGACAAAAAAGTCAATTTTCCTTTTCTAGATGGGAGTGATACAAAAGTTTTGATGTCTAAAATTTATTGCCTGCTTTAGTTTTATAGTGATGAAATTGGAGATGAATAATGTGAATGTAAGACTTACTGCCTAGTAAGTGAAACTGTCCTTGACCTGTACCTTAAAACATCACCCTGGGTCCTAACTTAGATAAAAATCCTATTGGCTTTACTTGAATAAGAAATTCAGGGTAGAAAATGTCAGAAGATCTGTACACTGAACATTTATATGGAAAAGAGTTAAATTATAGCACCTAATCTCCTTTCATCCTTCCCTGTGACATTTTTGCCATGATATCTTTTTGTCCCTCTGTTCACTTTGATGAGCGCAAAGGATAAATCATTCTGTAGAGACAATGCTCTCTGCTCTGCACAATTTCCACCAAACTATTGAGTTATTTTCAAATATGGTTTATCTTGAAGTATGAAAGTTAAGTGGAAAATTAAGTATTCAGAGTGGCTGTAGATATTCTGTGCATCATTTTTCCCCTTAATGTCACACTTTAAGAAACACAGTCTGAATTATCATGAATCATGTTTTAGAAATGTAATGACAACAGATAATGGAATAGGGTTGAATACTAAGTACTAGTAAGTGTTTGTTTGTTTGTTTTTTCAGAAATGTTTTTTTTCTTTGTTTTGTTTTGTTTTTCATTAGCATGTTATTTCCTAGATGATGAAATGTAACTCATGGACAATTTACATAGTAATATACTGTTTTTATAGGTTGGAACTTGGGATCCACTGAGTGGCCTTAACATGACAGAGAATCAGAAAGGAAAACCAGCTAACATCACAGATTCTCTGTCCAATCGTTCTTTAATAGTTACCACCATCTTGGTAAGCATCTATGTTTGTATTTCCAAAAATATAGTTGTAGGAGAAAGCTGATAGAGTTTGGTACACTAAATACAGTGGTAGCAGTCTGTACAATATTGCAGTTACTTAGTAATTACTCTGTCACAAATGAACTCTGCTTGGTAACTTGGTAATGGATATTTACTCCCACCTAAAATGTAAGTAAATTATCCCACTTTTAAGGTTGTGTTAGTTGATTGGTAACTCTTGTTTCCTTATTATTGACTAAAGTTTGGATCACTGACAAAGCAGTTTAGTTCAGCACCCTATGAGAAGGCAAAAGGTGTTTGTTTCAAACAAAGTAGTCTGGCCATCCAGATTTATTGCTTTTATATACTATTTAACACCATCATATCACTTTTAAGAAAAATAGGAAGCATTTATCTTTCATTCTCATTAAAGTAGTTATTTAATTTTTAAGTTAAAAATTTTAATCAAATTTACTTGAGCTATCTTCTTTTTCATTGTCATTGTTGACAAATTCATGGTGGTGAATGAATTGTTTTGAAATTTCTTGCAATTACACGTATTATGTAAAAAAAAATGTTTAGAAATTTCCAAACTGTAGTTTTGAAATATTAATTTTAATTGCAAGAAATAGAAAATTTACCAGCAGTACATCTGCTGTGCGTGTCTGGTGCCACCACCATTGCATATTAGCAGATATACTATGTGGCAAACTTTGGGTAGTAGTGGGCTGCAGGAGTGGCAGGGGTTGCAGGGTTCATTTTTTTTTTATTTATAATAATACAGTGACAAAGATCCATCCCATAAGAAACATAATGAAATAGGATGTTTCAATTAAATTTATTTATTCAATATTTAATTATATTTTAACATCTGTCTCTTGGTGGGGTGTAAGTCCGTATAGTGAATGTATTGGATTTATTTTGCATAGTGATACTTAAACTTCTATGATTTTATTTGAAATAGTGATCTCAAATAAAGGGTAAGATAATGTAAGTAACTGCACTATTAATAAGAATTGATTTTGAAAAAGTAAAGCTCAAAATAGGCCCCTAAGATTTATGATGGTGTATGCTTTCTGTAGCCAAGGATGTCCTTTCTACTAGAGGATAATTTTGTTTTGTAGTGGTTTATATGTATGTCAAGTTTTCATATATCAAAATAAACAGCTTTGTAAAATTTTTTGGGTTGTAGCTGAATTAAAGTCTGGACAAAGTGAAATTGGAAAAAAAAAAACCCCAAACTATTTCTATTTCTTTGCCTGACAAAAGGAGTGAAACTGCATAAAATGACAACTATGGCTTCAGTTCTTCAGGCAGTAGTTTATGATTATATGTTTCATGTCTCACAGGGTCACACTAGAGATCTAGGAAGTATCCTAAAAGATATGACGTATGATATCTTTTATATATAATATATATAATAAAATATAATGAATTTCTATTATGGATAGCATTATGGAAGAAGGTTAATTTGCTGTTTCCTGTAGATCTTTCCTTCAATTAGGGCATGCTGGCACAAATGACTAGTGAGATGTCTTAGTCATATATTACAGTGTTTTGATTGCCTCTAAGTAGTGGATTGCTTCACCTCTCCCAGCTGGATTTTGACTGCCAGCTATGAAAGCCCATTGTGTATTCCTTCCGTATTCCTAACTAAATGTTAATTAGATATGACAGCCTTTTAACTCCAGTATCCCTGGTGAATAGAAGCTAATGATTAAAATTCTCTGTTCTAATAGTGGCAGATTTTGAAGATGGTTTTCCTCTTTTCACCAACACTTTTTGTTGTGTTATGTTTTTCTGTATTCCTCTGAATTCTTTAAAAAAATACATATTTTTTTTGAAAGTATTAGAGAAAAATCATAATTTGATTATCCTTAAAATAATTTCAAATGTTGAATTTATTTTTGTCATTAATAATATCTTAAAAATCAAAATATAATAAATACAATCTGTTGAAACAATTCAAATAAACATTTCTTGTCCAAATCTGTTTGCGAGGAGATTATGGAGAGCAAAACAATCATACATACATATTATATGTATATAAAATTTACTGCAACTTATGCATATACATATATACACATAAGTTGCAGTAAATTTTTTCTACTTTGACATCTGGATAGAATAAGACGAATTCCATTCAAGTGTCAGTTGCACATTTTGAATAGTGAAAGTAGCCTGTAAGGCTTATTAATTAAATAAAGCAATTTTAATTCAACATGTAGAAACATAAGGAGATATTTTTAATTGTGTAATCAAACTTCAAGTTTGTGATGTAACTTACACATTAAAAAATGAATACAGTTAAAAGTTTTGCAAGAAGAACATGAAAATAGGTAATGATGAAACTGTAATGTTGATAGTAGTGATGGGGGGAAAAAAAGCTCTTTGAACATGGTACACTTGCAGAATATCAGAAATCATACAATACAGATAGTTATGAGAAAACCAATTATTTTTGTTTATGGAAGTGGCATGGGAATAGTTTGGTCAAGCAATTTGGCCTTTGATACAATTGAAAATTCATTTTATCATTTCTTTCTCAAATTTGTCCAGTTTTTATCTTGGTGTTTAGACATGAGAAGACAATTTGTATCAAGTAATCCCAGCATACTTTGACTTTTAACTTTTCCCCTCAGATCATGGTATATGACAAACATCTGACCTTGTACTGATTATCCCCACTTTTGTGCCACTGACAATTAACACTGTGGCTAAATTTGACCATGCAGCCAGGAGGACTACACCTCCTGGTACAGCAAAATATCACAAAACTGCAAAATGTTTGAGGTTGAAAGGCACCTCTGGAGGTCACCTGGTCCTACTCCCTGCTTAAGCAGAGTTGCCTAGAGCAGATTGCCCAGGAACACGTCCAGGTGGCTTTTGAAGTTCACCAAGATGGGAGACTCCACAGACTATTTATGCATGAGCAGTACATGTAAATGTAAAGCTAGCATGAATACAACAGTTATCAGAGAGTCATACTATTCTTGAACAAATTTTGTAGCTTCTCTTTTATTATTTAATAAATATTTTTCAAGGATTTATCATCTCTTTGAAAATATAATTTCTAATCTACCTGCTATTTTTCTTTGCCTTGTGATCAGATCTTTATTTGCAACAGTTATTATTAATGTACTTTCAAGTAAATTTTCTTAGAAGGATATTTATTGCCTATATCTGCATCCTCAAATTTCGTACTTAATTTTCTTGGGGGACGGAGTAGTTTTTCTTGATTAGCTTTCCATTACAATATTTCAGTCTTGTCATTCACTAAATGATGAGTTTGATCTTAAGATTATCCAACAAGTTGACCCGTTAAAAAATTAAATATGCACTCACAATATCATAAAATTAAATAAGTACTCACAGTAGGGATTCTCAAGTTTTTTTTGTTTTTTTTTTTGTTTTTTTTTTTTCTTTTTTTCTTAAAATTATGATTTCCATAATAATTTCTCAAAGTTTAAAGGAAAACAATTACAATGCACACTATATCCTTCAGTCCATCGTTCAGTCTTTGTGTCTGTGTGACATCTTGTTCTTCTTACTTACTGTTCACCTAATATTTATCATCAAAAAAAAAAAAAAAAGGAAAAAAGTGCACTTTTTAGAGCACTGATTCTTTTCAGAATCAGTTTATATCAGAATATATCAATTATTTGTACATGGTGTTATCTAGAAAGGTTTGTAACGATTGCTTGTTTACAATTAACTTTTGTCCAGTCGTGTTTTAATGGATTTAATTGTGTGTAAATTTCACTGCTGTCTGATTTTATCAGTATTCCATTTCATAACTTCATGCAATAGGCTGTTGGGTGCGGAGACATAGTGCACTATGGAGCTATGTTTCCTGTTTATCACTAGCAGTCTCACATGAGACTTAAAAAGGAAGATATTCTAGGATGTACTGCATTTCCCAGGAGTCAGCCTCTACATGATTTCTGATTCCAAGTAATAGGGGAAGTGTTCTCTGGTCTTTCCCAGGAGGGAAGTGGTGGAGGGCCTGTCGATAATGATTTGGAAGGACCTTCTTTCTCTCCTCCATTTTTATTTTTGCTTTGTTTTGATTTATTGCTCTTAATTAATCTGTACTATCTCACAATCCTTTTAATGAATTAGTTTCTTCTATCTCAGTCATGTTTTTTTCCTCTTTCTTCCCTCCCAGTTTTCTTCTTAGGGAAGGGAAGAGTGTTGCATGATAAAATCTTCTAGCTGCAACAACTGCAAAATTATATATAGAAAGAAGTAGAAAAAAATTTATATATAAAAAATAAAATAGAAAAAGCTTAGTCTTTGTAGTCAACCATCAACTCAGTAAATAAGAAAGACACAAGATTAATTTCTGCTCGGTGTCAGATTGTTTTGTTGTTTTACTAGTATTTATTTCAAGGGTGGTTTGGCCTTCTTTCAGGTTGTATGTGAAGTAAATAATGAACTTATGACTACCGGATTTAAAGTACAACAGTTCTTGATTATGTAATTAATTACTTATCTAAGTTCAGTCTCATACGAACAGTACCTTGAGTATTTATGCATTAGGATACATTCTTTTAATTGTTTGTTTTGGAGCATTTTAGTATGGATTGTGTTAGCCTGTTTTTATTTCACTCAGATTAGTGTCCATTCCAAATACAGAATTCTGTTTTTGCTTTCTCTTGGACGTGTAGTACCACTTGTGACATTTTTATATTTATTGGTGATGTCCCATCCTCTAATTTCTTCCTTTACAACACTGGCATATTCAATTAATATGAGAGCAGATCTGAAAGTAATGCCTCCTATTTTATTGTGTTGGCCCTTGACATCAGAAGTGGTTGTTAGGGTACTAGCTAAGATTGAACCTTTCCACTTTTATTCTGTTACATTTTGTGCAACAGATGGCAGCAGAGGGGCAATCTGACAAAATGGTGTCTGAAGTGCATATGATGCAAAGGTGTGTAGTTGAATTTCTCCATGTGAAAAAAATTTAGCACAGTGAGATGGCAGGTATTGTGTTTCAACAGAGGAGAC